TAACGAGTACCATCTCATAAAAAAGACACTCCCATGTTTGAAAAATATTCGGAAAAAGAATTTGGTAATCTTGTAAAATATAAGCACCAGAAATTCGAAATTGCCTAAATGAGACAATTAAACATAATCACTATTCCAGAAATAATATAATAAAAATGTCATGAGGAATGATTAGGAATAAAACAGATACATATAATATGAAAATCCCAGGAAAATCTCCATTATTTGAGATAAAATCTTTGCTCATGAACACCGCTGATAAAACAACTTTCAATATAATATACGTCATATCTATGTTTGAAAAATTTTTGTTTACAGATAAAAGATTTAGTAAAGAATTGTATGTAAAAAAAAAAAAAAACTTTGAAATAATAATAATAATAATAATAATAATAATAATAATAATAATAATAACGTCAACAATGACCAAAGGCGCTTATTACATCTGACGAGAAAAAAAAATCCCACAAATAGACTAAACATCGATGCCAACAAACTAGCTAATGTCAGGCGTGACATCATCAGAAAAAAAAAAGAGGATTATCTGACATAGAACTCGAAAGCATCTGAAAAACATCAAATGTATAGTTTAAACGTTAACATCTAGGGGTAAATGCCACCACATAAGAAGAGAGACATGCAGAGGAACAAATAAAAATCAGTTGTAATAATCCCTCTGAGGTAGAGAAGCAAAGTAGAAGAAGATAATGAGGAATATGAGAGAGAAACAGAAATGACAAAAACATCCGATATAAATAGGAGAATGTAAAGGAAATGTCTTTTGAAGAAATTCCCAAAGTAAGAAAGAACCGGCAAGTGAAGGAAACCTCGCTAGAGACAATTAGAAAAATAATGAACGAAATGGAAAGAGCGATGAACCTGACATAAATTAATCATATTATATACGCGGCCTCGGCAATGATCGAAGAAACAATAGGTGGAAAAGTAAAAAAAAAAAATACAACGTAAGCAAAAAGAAAAATGCCAGTCTGTAAAGAAATAATAGAAACCGAAATAAACTATGAGGACAATTGACACTTCTAAATGAAGTAGAGAAGGGCGACAAAATGAAAGAAAGAAAAGGGAGACAACTGAAACGAAGCCTTGATATAAAGAATAAGAATGTTGTAACAAAAATTAAAGAGAAGCTGAAACAACAAATTCAAGCGAAAAGGCAGAGAATCAGACGTTATGAAAAAAAAAAAAGAAGTGAGATGGTTCTGGCAAAACAAGATCTTCAAAGATGTCAAGAAACTATACTCAGAACTAGAAAAAATAAAACAGAGATAAATGACCCACCTAATAAAAAGGAAGTCGAGGAGTTCTGGTGTAGGATGTGGGAAAACTGCAAAACTTACAATGAAAGAGCTACATGGATCAAGCAAGAACATTAACAACACACATGTAGAGTATCAAAAATGGACGGATATAAAAAAATTACTAAAACAACCACCGTCATCTGCACAACCAAAAACTCGAAAGCACTAAGAATAGACTAGATTACCAATTTTTGGATAAAAAAACCCTATCTAGTAGCCACTGACCTAATACGGGTGTACAATGATGTAATTATAAATCCAGAAAAATAGTCCCAAATGGCTTATGTGTGGAGTATCATACCTACTCTCCCACCAAAAAAAGAAAAAAAGAGACGCAGAATCTGAAGAACTATAGACCCATCACCTGCCTACCAACAATGTACAAGATCCTCACTACTACCATAACTGAGAGGACATAAAACAAAACAATTTACACCCGGCAAAACAGAAGAGATGTAAAAGAGGAAGTTACGAATGTAAGGACGAACTAATTATCAATAAAACAATATTGGAAGAAGAGAAAACAAGGAAAAGAAACTTATTGATTGCATGGATCGACTGCAGAAAGGTGTTCGACAGTGTACCACACTCATGGATAGAGAAGAGCCTAAAATATACAGAGTACGCACTAAAACGGTCAAATACATAACGGAAAGCCTGAAAATCTGGAAGAGTACACTAAAAAGTGTCATTAAAACTGAGACCAGTCAACATGAAAAGTGGAATCTTCCAAGGAGGTTCATTATCATCACTATTCTGTCTTGCCACTTAGCTGCCTACAGAACAACAGTAGCTACGGACGCAAGTCACAGAATGGCAAACTTAATCACCTACTCTATACTATAACGTTTGCCAATCATGGCAACCAGCAGAAAAACCTACTTACCAAAACCTTCCGCGAAGATATTACGATCGAGTTCAAGATCGACAAATGTGTCTAAGCCACGTTCAAAGGCGGCAAACTAACAAAAACTACGGATTTAAACCTTGATATCAACAACAAGATGGTACATACAAATACTTAGGAATTAATGAAGGGATGGAATACAACATTCAATGATGTAGAGAAAGATCAGAAAAGAATATTATAGGAGAGTGCGTTTGATACTAGAAAAGCGAGTCCAATAAAATGAATGCTATCGACACCTTATCTATACCCGTAGTAACATATACCTCCAATATTATAAAATAGATTTTGAATGATATTAAAATAGTGAACGTCAAGATTAGAAAAATGCTTACCTACATGAGGATGCACCACCCGAATTCAGGTATTAATAGGCTGTACGTATCAAGAAACTTGGGAAGCCGAGGTCTAATACAAATTGAACTAAATCTAAAAACTACAACAATCAGATTGGAATCATATCAGACAAAAAATTACGACCCTCTCAAACAAATAGTACAACACCAAATCTACTCTATTAATAAAGAAGCTGCAGTCTGCAAGGAACCACTTAATGTATCAACAAAAAACGAAGTGAATACCATCTACACGAAGCGAGTAAAACAGAAAGCAAAACAACTTGGCCAAATGAAATTAGAAAAATTCTGGGAGGATAAGGCGTTGCAAGGCAAATACCTAAAAAAGAACGAAATACGCAGATGTGAACCAACAGAAAATACAACGCTGAGGAACACCGGGTTGAAAGTTGAGACAGAAGGCCTAAATATTGCAGCTGAGGACCAAAGCCTTGCAACCAGATTCAATCACTGTCATATAATCAAGGACGGAACTAACCCGAAATGCAGGATCTGCGGGAAATATGATGAAACTGTCTACCATATTATCGCAGGATGTCCGGAACTAGCAAAAAAAAAAAAAAAAAAAATGAATATACCCACTGACGAACAAGTTAGCGGCAACTGTACACTGGAAGATATGCAAGAAGTACAAAATCGAAACCACTGGGAGATGGTATGGGCACCACCAAAACACAGTTATCCAAAATAACGATATAACTATCCTGGACAATTCAAACTAACAGGGAAGTAAAAGTCAACAGACCTGATATTATCATATTATCAAAAAATTCATTGAAGTGTGTACTCATTAGCGTACAATCTGAGAGAAACAACACCATGAGAATTATCAAAGAATTATCCAAATACAAGGAGCAGAGGTCGAGATTAACAGGGTGTGCGAAATAAAGACTGAGACTGTACCATCAGTAATCGGAGCTTTGGACTTCACGAGAAAAGGAATGGACAATTTTACTAACAGTGTCCCAGGTAACATCAACGTACAAGATTCCCAGAAGATCGCCTTTATAGTGACATCCCATATATCAAGAAAAATTCTACCAATTAAATGGCAGTTCTCCTATAGGGTCTAAAGGTCATATTTTGAACCCGGCTGTACAGGATACAAAGCATGAAACATAGCATACACAAATAATAATAATAATAATAATAATCAGGATCAAATACCATAAAAACAGAATGTGTTTTTTATACACATGGCAACCTCTGAAGATTGTAATGTATTTTTGAATATCTTAAAAAAATATCAAAATAAATTACAGCTCAAGATTACGAAGAGCTTTATCTATGTAAAATGTATGTGCTTTTTTCCTACGAAAATACGCAGTGGAAAATGTCATGATACCAATAATAATGATGATGATGATGATACATCACTCCCGTTGAAAAAGAAGAAAGAAAATGCCCCCCCTTTTCATTGTCGTGGCTGCTACTGGTGACTATAATTTCAAGGATGTCAAAGCTATTGATATTATAGGATTTCTCATATGATTGAGGCACGAACTGGTCCTCAGAACATGCCATTGTGCCTTACTGTTATAGATGAGGAAAATAGCAAGTGTCAAATTATTAGCTTTGCTGTTCCATATCGTACAAGATTGGACTCGAAGGAAACTGAAAAGAGGAATAATATACCAGTATCTGATGAAGGAGATGAAAAACCTATTGAAAATGGATTTATAAGTAATTCTTATAGGAATGGGTGCGCTTGGAACACCACTTAGAAACTTGAAAAATCGCTTCGTAAGAATTGGAATTCAACCCAAAATCAGGATTCCCCGAAAAAAATTATTGAGTTGGGAAGAGTTTTATTAACACCATGCTTCAAGAAGAGACTTTCCATTAACTATGTCAATAATGCGACACCAACGTAACCAGACGCTACTGTAGCTGACAAAGAAAGAAAAATGCTTCTTCGTTGGCCTGGCTATTCTGATAACTATAATATTAATGTAAAAATATAGATAAGCATAAGAAATACACCGACCTCCCGGTTGAGTTTGTCAGAATGTGGGACCTTTAGGCCACTATTGTCACCCAGTTATCATTGTGGTCTCTAACGACCGAACATTAATTCCTATATTGTGGAAATTTTAATAATGCTTAGCATCCCGTCGCTTCAGAAGTCTACGTTGCTTGGCACTGTAAATATTCTGCAGAATGTGCTGTGTGACATACGACTTGATGGGGAACACCTATAATGCAAAATATCAGGTTGAAAAAGAAAACGTTTTGAAAGTAGATGTAATAATGAACATTGTAAATATTTTATAAATAGTTCTTCGATGGTTTCTTAGAAATATGAAGTTGAACATTTTATAAAAGAAATATGGAGTTTTTAAATTTTATATCTAAGTATTGGACATTTGTCCATCCCGAAAAATACATGGCATCTTCCTCTCATTTTATGTCACAGTTTCAGTAATTCATAGCCAAAAGAAGAAGAAGAAGAAGAAGAAGAAGAAGAGGGGAGAAGAAGAAAAGAAAGAATGAGGGGGAGGAGGAGAAGAAGAAGAAGGAGGAAGGAAGGGGAGAAGAAGAAGAAGATGAAGCAGCAGCAGCAGTGGTAGTAAAGGAATAGCTTTAAATGTGTAATTTGATATGTAGCTCAACAATCATTTATTTTATTTAACAAAACTCCAAATCTTTTCACTAGATTACGAAATCGAACTAAAATTTCATACCAAAATTATATATCTGTCTATATTTCTGAGATGAGGTATTATGTACACTATTTACATTATTCGAACTATTGTCCTCATCTTTGTTGTCATATTTATCACAACGTTTCGGCCGATTTACGCTCCAGCCTTCTTCAAGTGCTTGGAGTGTCGAACTGAACCTTTTATTTCTTTCGCTGAGGTAGACTGTTCTAGTTTCACGTGCCATGTTTAATGGATGTCAGTTATCAATTATCTCCTGTTAATTCTCCTCTCCAAGTTCTGTGTTGTTAAGTTCCTTAAGGATACATAACACAGTGGATAAAGGCGTTGGTTAGATCCAGTGACAGGATCCAAAGAGCTGTGAGTTCAATACCTGGTTTAGGCAGTAGAGGACTTGGAGAGGGGAATTAACAGGCGATAACTGATAGTTGATATCTATTAGACATGGCACGTGGAACTAGAACAGTCTACCTCAGCGAGCGAAATAAAGAGATCAGTTCGACATTCCAACCACCTGAAGATGGACAGAGCGTACATCGGTAAAAACGTTGTGATAAAGATGAGGACAATAGTCCGCATAATGTAAATAGTGTACAAAAATTATACAATAATTTTATGAAAATACTGATAAATGGGTGTGAAAAATTTAAAGTTATTAACATTAACTTCAAGTAATTAAATACCATTTATTTAAATTCAACAAAAATATTTTTCAACACATTCATTTTCCTTAGGGCTGCAATTAGTCCAAACCTTTTCACTAAGTTACAATATCGAGCTAAAATTTTATACCAAAATTATGTAATAATTTTGTGAAAATATTGATAAATGGGTGTGAAAAATTTAAAGTTATTAACAATTACTTCATGTAATTAACAATCACTTATTTTATTCAACAAAAATATTTTTCAACACCTTCATTTTCCTTAGGGCTGCAATTATTCCAAAGCTTTTCACTAAGTTACAAATCGAACAAAAATTTTATGCCAATATTACGTAATAATTTTGTGAAAGTACTTATAAATGGCTGTGAAACATTTAAAGTTATAAACAATTACTTCAACTCTCGGTGATGATTTATTCCTGCACTCATGCATGTGCAGTATTCATCATGCCACATTTACCATTATGAAGAACTTTCACTTTCAGATTTCTTTTAGAAGAGTCTATAAATTGTCTATTCTTCTTTATCGTAATATATGCCAAATTTCTGTACTAAACACTTTACTTACATTATTTAAATTATTAGGAATATTATCTTCATCTTCATTGCCATATTCACAACGTTTCGGCCGTTCTACGCTTCAGGTGATTGGAATTTGGAACCAAACCTTTTATTTCGTCCACCGAGTTAGATTGTTCTAGTTCCACGTGCCATGCTTCTTCCGCATATGGAGGGAAAAGGGTGATTACCGCCCCTCCTGTGAGATAAGGTTGAAATAATAGACAGAGTACATATCTGGAAAATGTGAAAACTTAAGGAATCAGCACATATGCTAGACCAAGCATAAAATAGAATATGGGAACTAGCAATAAGGTGTGATAGAGAAAAGCAATAAAAAAAAATGCAATATAAGCTCTGGTAAATAATGCAATAATAATAACAGAAAAATTGCAATATGAGCACTGGTAAAAATGATGCTGAAACATTAGGTTTATAAGTCCCCAGAATTCAGACACTGAAGGACATAATGAGTAGACCCAAAGAGTTGTGAGTTCAATACCAGGTCAAAGCAGTGGTGAACCAAACTTGGAGAGTTAAGTTAAAATTGAAATAAATGAGACATCCGGAAGAGGCATGGCACGTGGAACTAGAACAATCTATCCCGGTAGACGAAATAAAGGGTTCGAGTCGAAATTCTAATCACTTGAAGAAGGTCAAAACGTTGTGAATATGGCAATGAAGAAGAGGTAACAGTCCGAATAATGTAAATAACGTATGTAATCATAATAACTCATCTCAAACATATAAACAGATAGACCCTTTACATCAGTGCAATAAAACAAAACTTCCATGTTTCTTGCAATATGATTCAAAATCTTTGTTTCTATTTCATCACAAGAAAGAAAGTTGTTATTTGATGTTATCATCTTTTTTCTTTTATTTCGGATCTCAATATATCGGCAAAGCCTATACGGAGATTGAGGTCTCTCACTAATTTATCAATTCCATTTTGGGAGAATTCCTGTGGAACATTGTTTGAATAAGTTAGGATATACGAGTATTCTGCCTTCCCCACCCCTTTGAATGAATTTTTCCATAATCAAGATTAACACATCAAATAAGGATTGTTACATCAGATTCATGTGGCACATGTCTTGTTGCTGATGGAAAATTAAGATAATCATTTTTTTTTCTTGTATCTTTGTATTTTACTGAAGTAAAAACAGTGATCGTTCCAATTATTTTTCTTTCTAAATGTCATTCTTCTTTTCCTATGTGTTGTGTCGTTTCAGGATTCTTTGTAGCTCTTAATATTTTTTGTCATTTTGTTATCTCTCCTAAAACCTGTTCTGTTATCAATTTATTGAAGCTCGCTACGTAGGTTATGCTTTGCCTTCTGCTGTCCCTCTTGAACTTCAGTCTGTTTTGTGAGTATCACATTTTTCAAGTCTTTTTTCTTTATTATGTGCAATAGAATTTTCTGTTTCTGATGTTAAGCATAAGTACCTTTTTTCTTTCTTTTTTTAAAAACTTCGTCTTTGCTCACATGTTTGGTCCATGGTATTCTCAGTATGATACTGTAGAACTATATTTCTGTTGCTTCAAGTCTCTTTTTCATGTCATCGGAATTCCAAAATCAAGATATTGCTTTATTTCTTTTGTCCATTGTCTTATTATCCACATCGCATATAACACGAGGGACCCACATTTTGTACTGATCTCTAAATTTTACTTTATAGAAGACGTAATATTCTTTTAAGTTTTATTTTTATTTCTAGCAGAATTTTGTTATTTTCCATCTAGTTTTCCGCTATAATATTTCCATAAACATGACCAATCCACACAGCATTTATACTATCATTGTTAACAACATAATAATATAATTATTTATGTAAAAAGAATACTATTAGTGTTAGTATATTTAGCTACCCCCCCCCCGAGGGTTGCATGTGGCACAAAGCCGGTTTAACGTGGTTTCTCCGAGCCCGTGGTATCGGCCAAAAATATTCCCTTTTTGAAGCCGCATAAACGGGTTCAGGGTCAGTACTACCTCCCCGAACGAGACTCTGCCCTTCGGCGGAGGCTCGTCCGGGTTCCTCTCTGTGCGAAGGTAGAGAGTTCGACTGTTTTAGCTGGAACAGGTCGCAGCTAGCTAATATACTATCAGTGTTAATATAACGTGTTCAATAAATCCCTAATATTTCATGTGGTAGACTATATAAAACGTGTCAATCTACTATATCTACATATCACTGTGTTGTGTTTCACCTGTATTCCCACGTATTGTTAAATAACTGTTGTTCTGAATCCTTGCGTTCACATCATGTTAAAACACGGGTTGCCGTAAACAATGTCGAGCCTGGTCATTATCTAGGTGGGTGACCGCTTGGGAATACAACACGGTGTCAGCATGGATGAGCAGGTGATGTAATGGATAATAGCTTAGAATTTTTATCGGACAGATAACTTCCAATTCCATTTCACTTCGTTATATTCGCTTAAGCGCAAATAACCTTAGAAAAAGTATGAATCCACCACCTTTTCTCCCCCCATATGTGGGTTAATTAGTAACGCTTTTATCACTAAACCATTATTATCTAAAAAAAAAAAAATCTTACAATCTAAAAATATTTTCTGGTTTTAAATAACTTACAAAGGGGTGATAAACCGTAGAAAACGAATCCATCAGTCAATAATGTTTTATGAATGTTTATTATTTTTCACACACATAATAGTTGGAATCTAATATTCTGGATACTAAAATGGATCCTAAAATGGATAAGGGAATTTTGTATCGTTTTGTATATCGGGAACAAACAAACATACATACATACATAAATACATACATACATACACAATGAGTGTTTTAATATTATAGATAGATAGATAGATAGATAGATAGATAGATAGATAGATAGATAGATGACGTAGCAGGGGTTCAAAGTACAATATGCTCTTAAATTACTATTATTTATCGTTTAAGTTGTATATCGGGAACAAAGATACATAAATACAAGATTAGAGTTTTATATATATATATATATATATATATATATATATATATATATATAAATGTAAAAGTACGAAGAGTAAGAGAGAGAGAGAGAGAGAGAGAGATAAATGTTGTTATAGTGTTTTATGAATGTTTATTATTTTCAGCAGACTGCAAAATCTGAACAAACAATGGGATAGATAGATAGATAGATAGATAGATAGATAGATAGATAGATAGATAGATAGATAGATAGATCACTTGGTAGGGATTCAAAGTTCAGTATGCTCTTAAATTACTTAGGGTATCATGCCTCATTTAAGCTATATTTCGGGAACATACATACATACATACATACATACAAGCATACTAGATTAGTTTTCGTGTCATCTAGATTATAATGGAAGTTTAAAAAAAATGAACGTCTAATATTTCATGTATGGAAACGGATAAAATCATTATTACACTTCTGCGTCATATCTGCGTTTATCTTTTCATTTATCTAAAGCGATAGGTTGTTTCTTTATATTTCCATAACTTTTAGGAAATCAAATGTATCAATTGTTGTTGAAAAATATCTTGACTGAAAAAAAATCTATTTCTTTTGTTCAATTATTTGATAGAAATGTACTTAAAAATCCTAGAAAAAAGGGTCTTTGACAATGTCTGACAAGATTGATGATCGGATTTTTTTTTCATCAAGAAAATGACATCTGGCGTTTGGAAGACAACGTGAATAAACATCGACAAATTGGTGAACAAAGAATTTCTGAAAAAGGACAACGATTCGGCCGGATAAAGGAAAAGTTGCATTATTCTATGAAGTGAAACCACTCACATATATACGTGTCGATATATGATGTATAGGTATGTTCGTATGTGTGTTAGGATTAGATTTATATTTACATTAACATCTCCCATATATATATATATATATATATATATATATATATATATATATATATATATATATATATATACCATAGGATGGATCAATATGTCCGTGACATAATCCTCTGTTTAATTGGATTATTATCAGAAACCTTTATTCTATAATATTTGGTACAAGATTGAGAAAAGAACAGCAATACGGTTGGCTAAAGAAAAAAAACTGCATTGTTCTATCAAGTGAAACCACCTACACATATACGTACAGATATGTTAGTTTCTGTGTGTGTGTGATTGGCGGCATTTAGATCTGCACAAACGATTGCACATAAAAACACACAAACATACATATACATACATATGTATGTATGTATGTATGTATGTATGTATAGATAGATAGATAGGTGTATTATACATACACGAAGATTGGTCAATATGTTCGTGGCATAATCCTCTGATTAATTTAATTATTACCCGAAATGTTTATTGTATAATATTTGCTACATGTGTTTAATGGAGAAGAATTGTGTCATGCGCATATACGAAGGGGGAATGATGAGATTATGTTGAAAAATAAATATTTGGTTCGTAAAATAAACGCTTTCTTTAGGCTTTGGACACATCTGCATGCTCGTACATTCTGTATACATACTGCACTATATATATATATATATATATATATATATATATATATATATATATATATATATATATGTGTGTGTGTGTGTGTGTGTGTGTGTGTGTGTGTGTGTGTGGGTGTGTTTTGTGTTTTGTGTGTGTGTGTTTGTGTGGGTATGGGTGTGGATATGTGACAGAGAAAGAGACAGATAGATAGATAGATAGATAGATAGATAGATAGATAGATAGAGAAAGAGAGAGAAAGAGAGAGAGATAGATAGATGGATATGAAGGGCTAGAGAGAAAGTTAACGAACAGTTCTAACAAATCCTTTGATCTGAGCTCTGTTGACATATATTGTGTTATCGCCCCGAGAGAATGAATCCGACAAAATTCGTTATGAGATTTCACAGGATCTGAAAATACACACAAACACACACAAACACATTCGCGCGCGCATATATATATATATATATATATATATATATATATATAATTCTCAAAATATGTGCGTGTGTGATCGGATGTTGTTGATTCATATCCGCAGTTTACATCCGATTTCGATGAAATTTATTGTGTTTGATGGATAATTCTTCACTACCAGTTTTGCGTCCAAATTGTTGGCGACAATGGCTCTCCACTACTTCTTGTCTATTATAAATCTCAGCAACGTTTTACTATTTACTATCTGTTCTTGGATATATATCTCATAAAATCTTTTATAATATAAATAGTTTAGATTATTACAATATTATTATTTATTATTATACAGTTTACTTTTCAAGGTCACCCCATTCAAGATGTTAACCTCCCATTTGGGAATGTGCCTCAGTTGCACCCAAATGTTGTTATTGATTTTCGGGTGGACTGAATTTAAACTTGAAAGACCCGGTCAAAAACGGGTTATACTGTTAGTATATATATATTTTCGACAAAAAACCGTCAACACGTGTATGATTGCGTTTAAGGAAAACAGTCTTTTTAAGTGTGGTATATATTAAGAGATAATGTGCTAATATTAAAAGAAATAAAAATTAAAATATTTTTCTCTCGATAACCTTGCAAATAGAATATATGTTGAGAGTAATGACAAAAGGAAAACTATTCTTTATCAACGCGTTTCGACCTATGTCGGATTTTATAAGGGCAAATTTTTGCCTGGATGAGTTCCACCAGAGGACGAATGTCCTTGTTTTTATGCTTAATAATTTTAGTCCTCCTTTATTTTCAATCTTGCCTGAAATAAAAATGTTTGTTTAATCTGTGGAATAAGCATGTTGGTGGGTGTTCATCTTAATCTCTGTACCGGCTCATCAGCCTCGTTTCTATCTCTCAAGTTAGGTACATGGCATCCGATTTGAATGGACAGTCTCATGAAATTAATTAAGCCGTTCCCCAAAACTAACTCCTGAATCTTTCTGCTTTTTATTAATGATCTGCTTTGGGATATTCTCAAATCATTAGTAAATATCTATGCTTGAGCATATAGCGTGTGGGAGGGATTGACAAATGAAATAATCTCATTTTACGGGTACGGCGACGTTAACGCTCCATGCCGGTACAATCCACGCCACAGCCCTAGAATTTTGCTATTCTAAAACAGAATATGCATCACCAGTATGAAGTAGATCATCACGTGCAAAGAAAGTCGATCCTGTCTAAAGCGCCTCTTGCATATCAATCACTGTGTGTCTCAGTCCAACCAAAATTAGATGACACCCTACTTGCTTCGTAGCATCGCCCCCCATTTATACCAGAAGAACAATCCACTTCCAACTTGAGAAGCTGAAGCAGGAATCTAACCCTAATCATTCATTCCACGGCTGTGAATCAATGACAAAGAAGCTAAGTTGAAGACTCAGCTTTCAACATTCGGTCGAATGTCGAACAACAGAGCTTCTAATCTCTGTCTCTGTGGTGCAGCTATCTTAACAACGTAGAACACGGGCTTTATCTCTCTCTCTCTCTCTCGCTCTTTCTCTCGTCAGAATCAACCCTCTGGCTCTTCTGGTCCTGCCTGAATCGCATTCGAACAGCTTCAGAAATGGGGACATGCCACCGATAATGATCCCAACTTCCAATGCAGGCGATTATAAACTACTGAGCACCTAGTTTGCCCAATCTTAAAGATTCATGCACATTTAAAGACCCTGAAAACTTAACATCTCAGACAAGGCTCTGCGTGTATAGGAAGAAGACCGCTTGAGCATGTATCTGACTCTTTCTGCTCTGTTGTAATTTACTAATATAGGATTAGAACAAAAAATGCAGTATTTCTGACTACTGGAGATATTCAATACTTACTTCACAGCCTTGATAGAGTTCAAAACCGTTTTTGCCTTCTTGTGGATGAAAACATTCTTCACTTAATTGCATCCTCTTTCACAAAGACACAACGTTGCAAGCCTATAGGTATTCTATCGCTCTTTTTATGAGAAATATTCAAATTAGATTCAACTGTAGTACTACCAGTCCAGAAGAAACATCTAATGCTATTTCCAATACGTCGAACCCACCCACGTTTCTTTCGTATGGCAAGTATAAGGAGAAAGTTCTCAGGTTTTTTCCAAGATCTGCCACTTTGGGGAATGGACTCCCACCTGGATACTAGATATTAAGATAATATTTCCAAAAATGTGTCAGTCGTTATCTAGACTCCGTATCCTCACAATCTTCACCAACTACTCTCTCATGTCATATGCACCATTCATCATAAAGATTTTAAATCGAACATTCTGTCTGGAGTTGCACTTAAGTTTTATTGGTTTCGTTTGGTTTGTTTTACGGCATGTCAAGCTCAATGGGTTATTTAATGCCTACGAGATTTTTATTGATGGTAATATATTTTTTTTTCAAAAAAATATTGTTGTTAATATTTTTTTTTTCACAAATGTATTGCAGGGAATAAATTTTCTTCAAAAATATATTGCAGGTAAAAAATTTCAAAAAAAAGGTTTGCTGATATTAAAATCTATTTTTATACTTTCATAGTGTTCTGACCCCTTTTGGGTAGTTAGCTCTTTGCGTATAGCTGGGACACTGACAGGTGCTACCACCCCGAATTAGGGTGGACCTGGGAATACAAGCAATTAAGAGGTAGTTCCACGCTCCTCAAAACTTTCTGATCAAAAGACTTGCTGTCGTATGTAGTTTATCGTCTTACCCAGGACGAGGATGTAGTTTATCGTCATACCCTGGACGGCTTAAACTTTATATTAGGTGGATAATAGTACACTTCTATAAACCCGCTGGATGCCTTCTAAAACAGTTCATAATTCAATATGATGCGGTAACAATATTATTAGTTTTATTATTAAGTGCACATATTTTAATTTGCAATGCAAGTTATTTTAATAATTATTAACATACAAATTAAGCAAACAGAGTAATACTAAGGTTTTCAGAATTTGTGAAAGAACGCATTCCCTGATACACAGAACAACAGAAAAATGACAAAACTTGAAAGATATTAAAATTATTAACATGGTATCATTGAAATAAATTTAATAGTTTTAACAATTCATATGTTTTTTGTTGCAACCTATGGAAGGTTACCGATTAGAATAATCACACATAGAGTGGTAATGAAAGATAATACGTAGGACAAGAAAAACGCATATAAGATTCGCCAGCGGCGCGTAGAAGTAGTCAACTGCTACAAGTGAGTCAAGTGAATTCCACAATGAATCTCAAAATGCAGGATATCTATCAACAGATCTACGCGGTCAGATGTGGCACAAAGCCGAAATTAATTTTGGGTATCCGAGCCGGTAAGCTTGGCCAAAAATTCCCCGTAGACATCGTATAAAATAGGGTCGGGTAGCTGTTTTCCGAGACGAGACTCTGCCCTTCGACATAGGCTCGACTGGGGATCCCCTCTGCCCAGAGGCAGAGAGTTTGACCAGCACAGCTGGAGATGAATCTCTAATTGCAGACCAACATACAGTATTTACTAATCTATTTATGTGAATTGGGGCATACCCATTATCGTCCGATAATATTTTATTAATGAAATTCAGCTGTAAATTCAATTATAGACGCTAAATTATCAAACAACAAACGTTCAGAACGAACAATAAATAAAAAAAATATGTCAGAATGACATAGGAGGACTATCATTTTTCCAGTTTTATAACCTATATTTAATTTGAAACATGCTTTGAATGCGAACATTGTCCCGCAGGAAAAAAGACCCCTTTTATCGAATGGAACTGCACACTGATATGACACTAAAGGCCTGTCCATTTAAGTAATAGTAACCTCGGGGGACAATCTATACCACGTTTAGTATTTACCATATATTTATAAACGTGGCGGTCATTCAAAAAAACAAAACAAAAAAAAAACAAAAAAAAACAATCGAGCAAACAAAAAGTCAACAATCGTTTGCTTAGGGAGATTTATATTGAAATAGCATAAATTATGGATGCCACATCTTTGACACACAGTGGCGACAGTCTGTTTCATGCTTGAGTGAAATTCAGGCCATGCGTGTTTTGCAGTGGCTCAACTATTTATATATGATGGTCTATGGGGCATTATATTTAGAAAAGCAGTTATATCTGGTTTATTTTATTTACCATAACTGTTATTCGGTAGACGCCAACGATTATATTTTAAATTATTCTAAAAGTTACTGAGTACAATTATATCGATTCAATAACTTTTAAAATAATTTGAAATATAAATACATTATTTTTCAAGTAATCAATAATAAATAATAGTGTGTTATTGTGTAGTGCTTGTTAAAATCAAACATTTAATTCATTATTTATTATTGATTACTTGGAAAAAATTTGTATTTATTGATTAATTAATTGTTGTTTAATATTAAATTTACGTAGTCGTTATTATACGTAGATTCGCAGTTTTGATTTCTTAATTTTTTTAATACTAGCCTAGAAGCCGGCGTTCAGGCAGACTTTACGCTAGCTACTGCAGAGGGCTTTTGGGTCTTCGGTCTTTTACCTTCAGCGTCCTACGTACGTAAAAGTTATAAGAATTCAGAAATAATAAAATTATTTTTTTCTTTATTCGACTCTTTAATTCGGCATAATCTTTCTTCGTATAAGCAACAGATCTCTGTAGTTTGTTTATAATTATTTTGCGCGCAATTTTTTTTCTCTTTTAAATTCAGCATTCTTTATTATCCCTTCATATAAAATCACTCTTAAAATGCATTGGGTAAGCAGAACTATGTACTACTTCGTTTACGTTACAGTACGCGTGCTAGAAAAAGAAAAAGAAATATATGAGCCACGTCCCGTGACCCAATTAAGTTTTAACTACGGTTTAATTAGACGATATTAGTTGCAATTGCTACGAAAAGCGAAATTAAAATTAAACCTCTAATA